TTTCTTTTTTTTTTTTTAAGATTTTTTTCTTGGGCGGTGCTTGGGAGCCTCTTCGTCCAGGCTTCCCAGGGCTGGGAGAGAGGGGGGAGGGCAGTGGGTGTGGCTTGGGCTGAAGAGGGGGAGGGGCTGAGGTGAGAGACCTAAATCTTGGAAAGGTTCCGGTAGGAAGTTGTCATGTGGCTTCTTCCGCACTGCTGCTTCAGGGAGGCCAAGACTGTCCAAGAACAAAAATGACAACAGATCTTGGGGGTTATTTGGCAGCAGAAGCTGTACTAGTGAGCTTTGCCCTCAAAATAATATTTTTTCAGATACGTGATTTTATGTTTATTTCTAAAAAACTAAACATAAAGATTAATTTCCCATAATTGAGATTGTAAAGTATAAGCATTTTGACATGTGCCCTTTTCACTCAACATTATTTTGTGAGCTTTATCCCACTACATGAAACCCTCTTTTTAAACTCACTTTTAATGGCCTTACAAACAAATTGTCCCCCTCTTGGTGGGCCTTTAGGTTGTATCTAGTGTTTACCAAATTCTAAATGTATTAAATAAATACCATGTTTGTCCTCGTGCGTATAGTCTGTCCCCTTCTCGGACTCCAGGAAGGTTGTACCACTTCTTGTGGCCACTATGTGCACGATTCCCAATGCATGACCCTCTGTGGGCTTTTCCCTGTCAGAAGCCGCTTAATCCTGAACAGAAATGTAATATTCACGATAACAGCACTTGATTTTGTGCTCGCCCCATTCGAGGCCCTCTGTTTAGAGTCTGACAGACACCCTTGGTGTCTTTGAATTCCAACAGCAACACTGTGAGGTAGATTCTGTCATTGCTTCTGTTTTCCAGAGGCACCCATGAAGTTGAGTTACCCTTGAGGTCACCAGTGAGTGAGGGCAGTGCCAGGCCGCCATGCCACCCACTGCTACTGCTTCAGTGTCCCTCTTTGTCCCATTTTTGTAGATTCTGATGATGGTGGGCCTGCCCGCTGCCGGTAAGACCACGTGGGCCATCAAACACGCAGCCTCCAACCCCTCCAAGAAGTACAATATTCTGGGTACCAATGCCATCATGGATAAAATGCGGGTAAGGATGGTCCCTGGTCCCTCCATATCCACCCCCTTCGTCCACCAGAGTGCTGCCTGCAGCCAGGACCACCCACCCCTTCACCCTCTGCCCGCAGGTGATGGGCCTACGCCGGCAGCGGAACTATGCTGGCCGCTGGGACGTCCTGATCCAGCAGGCCACCCAGTGCCTCAACCGCCTCATCCAGATCGCCGCCCGCAAGAAACGCAACTATATCCTAGATCAGGTACTTAACTGGTGACCCTCATGCCCCAGGAAATGGCAGGGGCCTGTTAGATGCCTGGTCCTTTTATTTTTTCCCCGTAATGCTCAGACTACAGCGCTGATCAGGGAGTCAGCTCTACATGATGACACAGTCCCAGACTCTTAGCCTAGGTCTCTGAGGCCAGTCTGTGGGTGGGCTCTGGGACCATGATCCAGACATAACTCAGGCTCTCAGCAGCCCAGAAGAACATCATCACGTGAGAGCTATTTAGTGAATTGGAAGGGACATGGATTTCTGAGCTGGACAAACCTGGGCTTGAATCCGAGCTCTGCCGCTTCCTAGCTGCGTGCCTGTGGGCAGCTGACTTCATCCCCCAAATCTCAGTCTCTTGGTCTGTAAAAGAGAGATCATAATGGTGCCCATGAAACACGGTCTGGCCCATAGTAGCTGGAGATTGTTGTTAATTGCTCTACAAAATAGGTATGTCTCAGCTTCTGTTAGCATGTTTTTATGACTGTCGGGTACGTATCTAAGTCACGTGTTGTCTACCAGTTAAGAGGAAGGCTGGTATGAAATTAAACCAGAATTTTGTATACAGGCACAGATCCTTTGAAAACAAGCAAACAACTGGACAGTTTTGAGTTAGGATAGGAAAGTCGTCCATGGCTTTCAGCATTCTCAAAAGGATGAGTGACCCAAACATGGTTAAGGAAGGATTCCTGTCTCAGAGTAACAAGTTCCTCATGTTTACTGCCTATGAGACATCATTCTTGACATTGTCCCGAAGGCTTTCTCAAGTAGCAGATCCTGTATTTGGGGACCTGTGAACAAGCCTCTGCTCCCCTTAGCCTTGCACTTGTGCTTTCTTAAAAATCTGTGAGTGCAAGTGTGTAACCTTAGTAGCGCCCCCGCCCTGGCAGCCTTACTGGGGTGCCTTCCATACATGTAGCCCTGGGTACTTGGTTCCCATGAGTTCAGAGTTCCTGATGAGGATGGAGCTGGTGGTGGTGGCAGGCTTGTCAGGAAGGTGGTTGGAAACTCCAGGGAACCAAGTTGGCTTTGCATTGGAGTGAACATCTTAAACAAAACAGTTGAGCAGGAGCTCCCAGGCTGGTGGACAGTGGAGATTTGGGAAGAGTGGTTCCCCGCCCCTGCGCACCTTCCCTGTATCTCGCCCTAAGCATCTCTTCCATGTGGCTATTCCCGAGGTACATCCTATTCATAATAAACCAGTAAGCTGCTGTTTACAGTGGAAGAAATGAGGCCTCATAGCCAACATTTGAAAAGAGCACAGAATAGGAAACTAGTTTTTTTTTAAATAATTTTTTTAAAGATTTTTTAAAAAAATTTCTTACAGAAGTGGGGGCACGCGAGTTGGGGGAGGGGCGGGGGGGAGAAAGAGAAGCCGACTCCCCTCTGAGCTCCAAGCACAATGCGATGTGGGGATTAATCTCACAACCCTGAGAACATGACCTGAGCCGATAAGTTGAACGCTTAACGAACTGAGCCACCCAGATGCCCCAAGAAGAAATTAGTCCTTAAAGACAAAAAGAAAAAAAGCTATTAGCTGTGATAGTAGTTCTTTATGATAGACAAATTAAAGGATCTTGCCAAGCAGTTAAGTGTTGAGAGTGGAAATCTGTGGTTTGCTGGTGAAACAGCATGCTACAAAAACTAAAAGTTGGCCAAGGCTGTCCCACACTTCTGGCATCCTTATGTGATGCTAGAGATGTGAGATTCGCTCTGGGTGTTGCTCTTCTGGAAAGTGGGCCTGAAAAGGTGTACTTTCATCCAGTGAGCAAGGATGCAATCATAGGATTGAGCCCTGAAGACCCGCATTTGTAAAAAACACAGGACATGGTCCCATAATACTAAACTTTGATAAAAATAACTCATTGGGCTAATGGGGGGAAAAAAAAACCCCCCCCACACACAGTTGAGCACAGGATAGTCTAAGAGCCACCGGGGGTTACTGCCCCAGCTCAGCCCCATTCATGATACATATAGCCAATCTTCTTTCCCTTTAAAAGACTTTGTTCTTTATCTTTCTTTTCTTTTCTTTTTTTTTTTTTAAGATTTTTTTCTTGGGGCGCCTGGGTGGCTCAGTCGATTAAGCGTCTGCCTTCGGCTCAGGTCATGATCCCAGGGTCCTGGGATCGAGCCCCGCATCGGGCTCCCTGCTCAGCTGGGACCCGCCTGCTTCTCCCTCTCCCTCTGCCCCTCTACTCTTGCTCTCTCTCTCTCCAATAAATATAAAATCTTAAAAAAAATTAAAAATAAAGATTCTATTATTAACTTCTATACCCAGCGTGGGGCTCATACTTATAACCCCATGATCAAGAGTCGTGTGCTCTAACAACTGAGCCAGCCAGGCATCCCAAAGACTTTGTTTTTTAAACAAGCCTCACTTTGCCCCATTCTTCTTGTCAGGGCATTTTGAAATTGTAGTCCAACTTGGCCTCAGTGGGACTCCGGGTCCTGAAAAGTAGAGAGCAATGCCCTGAGGATTCCTTGTTTGGATACCAAGAAGTATTCCCTGCCTCCTTGCCCCACCCCCCCGCCCCGTCCCCAGTTTGCTGGTTCAATCATCTGTGAAACCCATTTCAAATATGTGGCCCAGTGGAAAAGGATTATAGTCCTAGGGGTAGATGATCTTAACATCTGTGTTCAACATCTCAAAGTGGGCTTTCCCTGGAAGTCAGGCCCCCAGCCTCTCAGCCAGGCACAGAACAGCTGAGCTCTGTAAAGACTCACCGTTGGCTTTCTCGTCCTCTGCTGGCTTATTCAGGGACAGGGTCCAGGGCTGTACCGGGTGCGCCTGTGCTCTTCAGGGCTGCTGGCCTCCTGGTGGAGGACCTGCTGGTCAGGTCAAGTGACCCAAGCCAACAAGGAAGCAAAATAACCTAAACTCTGAAGGAGGGGGAGGAGGGTTCTCGGATTAACCGCAGATTGGAGGATTGACTTGGGGCCTCAAGCTGTAGGTTGGTCAGGCCTGGGAAGAGGTCTAAAGCCAGTGGTTTCACCTATTTTGACTTAAGCCCCAAAAGTGGGTTCCAGAAAACCCTGGAGGTAGGATGTAAGGTTCAGAGCAGACCCCTGGCAAGATGGCCGGCACTTTCCACTCCACCAGCTTCGACAGTGATAAGGGGTAAGTTGATGCATAGCTGTCTCCTGAGCTAGAAAGAACTCCCAAAGCAGAGACAGTACAGCACGCAAAGTTCCTGCAGTCCCGGGATCTCAGCTCAGGGCTGTCTTCTCCCTTTCTTCTCTGATTCAGAGTGGTCAGACCTCCCTGTATTTGGCTCTCCTGGCTCTCCTGTGTAGGTTGGCCTCAGAAATGCTCATCCTTGAGAGGGAAGGAGAAAGAGGCTGTGTGTACCAGGATTCTGCCTTTGGCCAGGATCCCAGCCCCTCTCCCAGGATGTGTCTCATTGAGCACAAGCTCTCAGGTGTGTAGGGGCCCGGACCTACATTTCGTGATGACTTGAGTCCTCTTGAGATCACGGAGGTGTTAAGCTGTGGGACATCTGAGGAAGGCAGGAAAAAAAATGGACCAGAGGGGAAGCTGAGGCCTCATCTGGGAAAGGAACCTATTTGAAGTTTGCATTCGGTTTACTGGTAGAACCGGCGTCTGCTGACTTCCCAGAAAGTCACAGCAAAAAATGGTGGGGGCCCTGGTGGAAAATTAGGAAAGCTTTCTGGAGGTGGGGTGCCTGGCCAGGACATGGACGATGATAAAAAGAGTTGAGACTTTGTCCTGAGGGCAGTGGTGAACCATGGTCATGTTTTCATCAGAGAGGGACATGGCTCACTTCGCCTGGCTGGTGAAAGGCTGAAGAGAAAGGGGAGCAGAGAAGTAGGAGGCCACATCGCTTCAACTGTTCTTTGGGGTCCTTTCTTACCTGTGGAAAGCCTCTGGAATGAGGTGCTGCCTGCCCTGGCCCACCACGGAGCTTCGAGACGGTACAGGGCAGGAGCAGGAGCTGACCTGGAGGCCTCGAGAAGGCCTCTGCAGGTCCCTGTATGAAGGCCCCAAACCACCCCCAGAGTCAAGACGGCGGCTCTAACAGCCCAGCGCCAGGCCAGGCAGTAATCAGAAGCAGGGCTGCATGTGACAGCGTTGCCAGCCCTGCCTCAGCCCCGCCTCAGTCAGCAGAACATGTGGGTCTAGTCTTGCTTTGCATCCCTGTTGACAAGTGCCATGCCTTCGCATGAGACAGAAACCTAGGGCTAAGAGCAGAGGTCCAGAGTAAACTGCCTCTTGTTGGCAGGCGTTGGAGAGGGAGGTGTTTCTCTTCTCCACCTTCCTCATCCCCAGAGCCTCAGCCTGTTCCACTGTTGACACTCCAGCCAGTTCTCTTGCTACATGTGTGGTTTCTCCCACTGAGTTTACCTCACTCTGCCAGAGTGAGCTCTTTTGTCACCAGCTTTAAATGTGCTCCTGTGGGGTCCAGCCAGGTTTTCTCTCCCTGCCAGCCTGACCCTGTTGAGCTCTGGACAAGGGACAGTGGGACTCTCACAGAACCTGGGCTATATTTCTCCCTCATTCCACCGGACCGCCACACACCAGAACTACCCACATAGCTTCTCGGAGAAACCCAGCTCCTGTCCTTTGGCCCCCATTGCTAGGGATGGGGATAGCTGGGGAGCCAGGGAACATAGACAGCCCCAGACCTTCTCAGAGCCAGCATCTTCAGGGTGGGACTGGGAGAAGCAGGAGCTGGGCAGAGGGATCCCACGCAGCTGGAAAAGCTGACCTAGCTGTTGTGCTCGTCTCCTAGCAACAGCCACCAGCAGCCCCCAGTGACCAGAGCAGTGCTGGGCTGGCCTAAGGGCTCTGACCTCACTGTGTTTGCTGTAGCAACAGCCACCAGCAGCTAACTCTCTTTCCTCCAGGAAGCCAAGCATTTGCATTTCTGCTGGCCTGGTTCGGATCCTCTTCTTCCCTTCCCCAAGCCCAGGAATAAGGGGAGGGAGAGGCCGTCTCAGAAACGCTCGCCAAGTGTGTTCTCAGCACCTCTGTTCCAGGGTGTCTGAGCAGCCATCCCTCAGAGTCTAGCCACTTCCCAGGACAGGGGCTGGCTATTATTAGGAGCCCAGTCTGCTCCGCCCCGTCTCCCCCCATCCTGCAAAGCTGCAGGGACTAGCGCTCTTGACAGCATTGCTTCTCTTCTTTGCCCCCTCGTCAGCACCTTGATAGGGCAGGTCTGCCCCTTGGAAAACTCCAGGGGGTGTTTATCCCTGTCCCTTGGGGTTCGAGGCAGTCAAAATAGGATCACTTCTTCTGGGCGAGAACCGTGGAATGGGTTGTCCACAGAATGGTTTAGGGCCACAGTCACTCTGGCTTTTGTGCCAGGAGAAAACCTCATTATTTAGCTGGAGGAGGCCAAATTCTATCTTGCTATGATCAGATGCCACCTTCTGCTTTGCTTTTAGGAGTGAGTCCAGGAAGAGCAGTGGGGAAAGAGACTTTTCCTCTGTAATCTGATGTGCCTTTTAACCATTTGTGGCCCAAGGCCTCTCCATGGGCCAGTTCTCAGGGCCCAGATCACAGCATGGATGTGTGCTTGCGGCATACATGGTCCTCCCTGTCCTTGAAGGGTGGGACATTTTCCCCGGGGAACGGGGAGGAACATCCCCACCTGGTGTGTGTCAGGACCAGGGGTCTGATTGGTTTAGAGAACAGCTGCACCCACCTCCCAGATCTCCCAGCAGATGTGCACTGGGGTCCCTGGCCTCTGGCTGACCTACAGCCCAGCTTCCTGTTCCATGTCTTGGGAGAGGATCTCTTGTGACTTGTCTTTTCTTCGAATTTAACTTTCCTTGGTCCTTTCCATTGGGAAGTCTCTCCTGGGACAGTGTCAGTCCTGTTGGCCCTATTTTCAGATCCACCCTATGTGTGTTGACTTGGAACTTTCCCTGCCCCCTTCCTGCCACATGCCAGACATTTTCACATCTGCAAATCCTCACCAGAGCCAGAAGAGCCAGAAGGAGGGTGATCTGATCCCTGTCTTTCAGAGGAAGAAATTTGAGACACAGGCTAATTGGGTGACTTGTCTACAGTCTCACAAATAGTAGAAGGCACAGCTGGGATTTCAACCCCGAGCTTCTTCCCCAAAGCCTGTGTTCTCTCTACCCTGTCTTCTTTTTTTTTGTTTTTTTCTTTTCTTTTTTTAAGATTTTACTTATTTATTTAGAGTGTGAGCAGGGGGAGGGAGAGGGAGAGAATCCCAGGTGGACTCCAGGCTGAGCACAGAGCCTGACTCGGGGCTCGATCTTACAACCCTGAAATCACGACCTCAGCCAAAACCAAGAGTCAGATGCTTAACCAACGGAGCCACCCAGGCGCCCCTGTCCCTGCCTTTCTGATGGGAAGTCACTATAGCTTGGTCTTCCCTGGCTTCACATCTACTTTACGGTGAGGCTAGTCATGGCACACCTCCCTCCCCAGTGACGGCCGTAACTACAGTGGCTCCCAGTTGTTGACTTCGCTGTGAGCCAGGCCCGGAGCTAACCAAGGGCTTTGACCCACATGAACTCCAGCAGGCTTAATAGTGACCATCTGACATTCATACTCTTCTCCCTTTTCAGGGTTTGAGACTCGTTAAATGCGCAGTGGGTTGATTTTACAGACAAATAGGCTGAGTGGCACTTGTTCACCCAGAGCCACACGGGTGTGACCTGAGCAAGTCCGATTAGAGCTGGGGTGGCCAGGCCACCCGTACACACACACACTCTCTCTCTCCGTGCTGGAGGCTGCCTCTGAACCCCCAGTCAAGGACTTCCTTGCACCAGGACATTTGTTCTGTCATCCTTTTCTGCTCCATCCTCACCAGCCCTGGCAGGGAGGCTCTTCATCTCTGTTTTCCAGATGAAGCCACTATAAGGACTGGCCAGAGTGAGTTAAAGGCCACACTAGGACTTGACCCGGGGCTTTTCCACCCTGCCAGGCTGTTGATTCAAAATACAGTATTTTTGTGTGTGCGTGCCCCTTTACGACTGCTCCCCGCTGTGGCTTCTCCCTTAAGTCCCTGTCAGAGCCTCTACAAGTTGTTCAAAGGCAGGTACTTCTCATCACTCCAGTTGTATTGACTGTCTGAGTTTAGATAGAGTGGATACCCATACAGGTTTCTGGATCCCACTTCCAGAGATGGGTTTGGAAATTCCGAGTGGCATTAGGGCCGCTCTCCTTTTCAGTAGCATCTAGGTGGTTTGGATGTACGGGCTGAATCCGGGGAGCCCTGGGGTCCCATGGTCTAGGCCCCGGTTCCAAAGGGCCCGGCATGTAGGAGGTACTCCGTAAATGGAAGCCGTTGGCAACTGCGGCTCTTGGTCAGGTGTGTTCTAGAGCACCACTTTGTGCCGCCACCGGCCCAGCATGCACCTGCGCATCACCTGGAGGAAGGGAGCAGAACGTTAGCAGCAAAACTGCACTTGGGAAAAGCACAGGCTGTTGCCTTGCCCAGCTCCGTGGTTGAAAGCCTGTGGTTGAGGCTGATGCTTTAGAGAAGGACTGAGGGAGTAAAAGAACCACAGTGTTGATGACAAGAATCCATACAGCTGTCAGAAAGGGCTGGTTAATTATGGCAACCATCCTGTAAGTATTATGTAGCCATTAAAAGAGAACACTGGCATGGAAAAATGTTAGAGAAACGTTAAGTGGAAAGGCCTTCAGGAGGGGCGCCTGGGTGGCTCAGATGGTTAAGCGTCTGCCTTCGGCTCAGGTCATGGTCCCAGGGTCCTGGGATCGAGTCCCACGTCGGGCTCCCTGCTCAGTGGGGAGCCTGCTTCTCCCTCTGCCTCCCCCCCTGCTTGTGTTCTCTCTCATTATCTCTGTCACTATCTCTCTCTCTCAAATAAATAAAAGCTTTAAAAATATATAATTGGGCGCCTGGGTGACTCAGTTGGTTAAGCGTCTGCCTTCGGCTCAGGTCATGGTCCCAGGGTCCTGGGATCGAGCCCCACATCGGGCTCCTTGCTCAGTGGGAGGCCTGCTTCTCCCTCTCTCACTCCCCCTGCTTGTGTTCCCTCTCTAGCTGTCTCTCTCTGTCAAATAAGTAAAATCTTAAAAAGAAAAAAAAGAAAGAAAAAGCCTTCAGGAGAGTATGTAGCCTGAGTCCACTTGTGTTATTTTTTGTTTGTTTGTTGTTGTTGTTTAGAGATTTTACTTATTTATCTGAGAGAGAGAATGCCAGCAGGAGAGGGCCAGTAGGGGCAGAGGGAGAAGGAGAAGCAGACTCCCCGCTGAGCAGGGAGCCCGATACGGGACTCGGTCCCAGGACTCTGGGACAATGACCTGAGCCGAAGGCAGACACTCAACCGACTGAGCCACCCAGGCGCCCCTCCAATTGTGTTAAAAATCACAGAGATCTCTGCTGGCTTCAGCAGCACATACACTAAAATTGGCCCCTGTGTGAGGATGACCCACAGATTTGTGAAGCGTTCCATATTTTATTTTATTTATTTATTTATTTTTAAAGATTTTATTTATTTATTTGACAGAGAGAGACACAGTGAGAGAGGAACACAAGCAGGGGGAGTGGAGGGGGGAGAGGCAGGCTTCCCGCCGAGCGGGGAGCCCGATGCGGGGCTCAATCCCAGAACGCTGGGATCATGACCTGAGCCGAAGGCAGGCGCTTAACGACTGAGCCACCCAGGCGCCCCGCGTTCCATATTTTAACTGAGCACTTTCCCACGTGTTGTACCTCTAAGATGTTCCAATTATGTCTCAAAGTAAATGCTTTAAGAAAAAAAGAAGATTACACAGATCTTTTTAGAAATACATGTTTTCAGTACAGGTCATCTCTGGGAAGGAGGACTGGCAGTAAGCAGATGAAGGGATTCTACTCTAAATTCTTACTCTACCTTGTACTCCGAAGTTTTTACCATGAGCCTGTGTTACTTTTATTTTTTTATTTTTTTTAAGATTTTATTTATTTGACAAAGAGACACAGCTAGAGAGGGAACACAAGCAGGGGGAGTGGGAGAGGGAGAAGCAGGCTTCCCGCCGAGCAGGGAGCCCGATGTGGGGCTCGATCCTAGGACCCTGGGATCATGACCTGAGCCGAAGGCAGACGCTTAACGACTGAGCCACCCAGGTGCCCCATCCTGTGTTACTTTTAGAATTGGGGGGAGGATGTAAGGTGGCATACCAAGAACATATAGGGGTTAAAAGCCCAACCTCTGGGAACCCTTTCTCCTGTGACTTGTCAGCAGCCACTTTCCCAAGTCCGTTTTCTGAGGATGGGCTCAAGAATCTTAAAAGCAGGGGTGCCTGGGTGGCTCAGTCGTTAAGCGTCTGCCTTCGGCTCAGGTCGTGATCCCAGGGTCCTGGGATCGAGCCCCGCATCGGGCTCCCTGCTCAGCGGGAAGCCTGCTTCTCCCTCTCCCACTACCCCTGCTTGTGTTCCCTCTCCCACTGTGTCTCTGTCAAATAAATAAATAAAATCTTTAAAAAGAAAAAAAAAAAGAATCTTAAAAGTACAAAAAGAGCAGTTCCCTGAGTTTTTCTGCTTTGGAGAACTAGCGTGCTTTTCTCAGTTCCTGGCCTACATAATACATGGCAGGAAAAAACCTAAGTCGTAATGTACCATCTCTTGCCTCTTCTGTTACCTACCTCTAGACAAATGTTTATGGATCAGCCCAGAGACGAAAAATGAGACCATTTGAAGGCTTCCAGCGCAAAGCCATTGTAATTTGTCCCACTGATGAGGACCTAAAAGACCGGACAATAAAGCGAACCGACGAGGAAGGGAAGGATGTCCCAGATCACGCGGTCCTAGAAATGAAAGGTAGGAGATGAGCGGTTCCCAGGGGGCCAACACAACAGGGTCCTCCACAGAAAAGCTCCTTCCACAGTCCCTTCCTCCCCAGCTCCTGGCTTACTCCTTTTTTGATCTTGTCCGTTCTTTCCTCCTCCTGTTCTGCCCTTCCCTCTGTTCTGCCCTTCCCTGTCTGGTGCAGCTGTGAACAGAAGAGCTACCAACAGTCTCTTGGGGCACGGTTTTCAGACTTGCTGGGGCTGGGGCTGGGACAGGATGCGGGAGAGGATGTGAGGGAGCAGACGCTGAAAGTCCCGCACAGTCACTGCCTCTGGCTCCCTCTGGTGCAGTGCTGAGCTGGCCTCTGTCCGCTCCTCTGTAGAAAATAAGGATGCTGATTCCACCTGCCTGCCCACTCCCTGGGGAGGCTGGAGGGAGTGTTTATATTTGGTGGGGCTTAGGCCACCTCTTCAGAAGAGAGACAGGAGGGTCTTTGTTAACCCCTGAACATTGTCAGAGAGGTTGAGACGCTTTCTCGCTTCTGTCACTCACTGCTCGTCCCCTCTGCCATCTCCCTTCTGGCAGGCCAGTGTCCTGGGGGTGTAGGGAACCAGACCGCGGAAGGTACTGACCTCTCCCTGTTCCCTCTGGGGCCCTGCCTTCTTCCTAGCCAACTTCACATTGCCAGACGTTGGGGACTTCCTGGACGAGGTGCTGTTCATTGAGCTGCAGCGGGAAGAAGCAGACAAGCTGGTGAGGCAGTACAACGAGGAAGGTCGCAAGGCCGGGCCACCCCCTGAAAAGCGCTTTGACAACAGAGGCGGTGGTGGCTTCCGGGGCCGCGGGGGTGGTGGCGGCTTCCAGCGCTATGACAACAGAGGCCCACCAGGGGGCAACCGAGGAGGCTTCCAGAACCGAGGGGGCGGCAGCGGTGGAGGAGGCAACTACCGAGGAGGTAAGACATCTCAAACAGAGCTTTCTTGGCTTTTGGCTCCCGGGACAGGGTTGAGCTTTGTGACTGCTTACTCAGTCAGCAGGTGAATTTCCCTAGCACCAGCTGTGGGCTGAATTCTGGCGGAGAACCGCAGTGAGTTAAACTCTGGGCCCTCAGGGGACCTCTCCCACTGTCCTGCTTCCCCTAGGCATTGCTCCTAAAGCCCATGCCCCTTTGCAGGTCACTCTGGTGTCATTTTTGCAATTCTTCCCTGCCATCTGACCATAAACGCCTTAAGAAGAGCGGCCAGACCGAGTTTACTGCCAGTCTTAGGTTCCTGCTCAGGAGCTAGCGCAAGACAAATGCCAGGACTGTTTTTGGTTGTTTGGCATTAAAACAAATAGAGAAGTGGGCTTAAGGAGGTTAATTTGCCCCAGACAGACACATCCGCCTATAGTGGCCGTCCAGAAGGCTTCTGGGCTGAGTGGCAAAGCCCTGGGTTAGCGTGAGCTTGGGTGACACCTGATCCAGCCTGGGAGGGAGCAGGCTCGGGAAAGGCCTGCCAAGACACCAGTGTCTAGGCTGAGGTCCAGAGACCAGTGGGAGTTGGCAGGGGGCAGGGTTTTGGGCCCAGCCACAGCAGCTCAAGGGCTCAGGAGAGCCTTACCCATTTGACCAAGCCTGAAGAGGACTGTCCTGGATGCTTAGTTTTGTCTTCCTGACCACCTCTTCCGATTTGTTCAGCAGCTGTTGGGATGCTGGGGACACAGTAGAAACCCAAGCAGCCCTGGTCCCAAGCTCACAGTCCGGTGAGCAAGACAAGCCTGTCAGCAGATAGTGATGACTGAGTTACAGGGCTGCACAGGGGGCATGCCTGGGGATCTGGGGAGACCCAGAGTGGAGCCCCGCTCCTGAGGGTCACCAGTTCAGAGTGACAGGGCCTCTCCCCTGGCTTCTCCGACGCAGGCTTCAACCGCAGCGGAGGTGGTGGCTACAACCAGAACCGCTGGGGTAACAACAGCCGGGATAACAACAACTCCAACAACCGAGGCAGCTACAACCGGGCTCCCCAGCAACAGCCACCGCCCCAGCAGCCGCCGCCGCCGCAGCCACCGCCCCAGCAGCCGCCGCCGCCACCCAGCTACAGCCCTGCTCGGAACCCACCGGGGGCCAGCAGCTACAACAAGAACAGCAACATCCCTGGCTCGAGCGCCAGTACCAGCACCCCCACTGTCAGCAGCTACAGCCCTCCACAGGTGAGAGAACACACAGGCGTGTATGCAGGCCAGAGGAGGTGGGCCCGGGGAATGGCCAACAGGCGCTCCGGCCACGGCTCTCCACTCTTCCCTCCAGCCCTGCCCTTCTTCCTGGCAGTGCTTTTGACTGTGATGGACCCTAGACTTTCCTGCCAGACCCAGATTAATCGGGACCCTGCTTGTTCTCCCACCCCCTCACAGTCATGTGCTAAGAGTGTTGGTTGCTCCAGCAAGTACATTTCCCTCGGTGGTGTCACTGGCCTCTACTGAATCCCCAAGAAAGTACTTGATTGGAGTTACTTTTGCCTAGGCTGGCAGGGGCTGACCCCCTTATCTCCAGCATATGGAGACAGGCCCTAAGCTTGGGAGGTCTTGCCCAGTGTCCTGAGAACTTCACTCTGGAGCAGCTCCTGGCTCAGTTCCAGTTCTCCAAAAGCCGGTGCTCAGGCTCTGGAATGCACAGGCCCCTGTTAACCAGAACAGTCCACTGCCGTTTCCTGAGCGCCTTCCACATGCCAGGCCTGGGGACAGCTGCCAAGAGACAGATGAATGGCTCCCAGTCCTGGTCTAACCAGAATGTTTCCTAGAACAGGGTGGGTAGGCACAGATTCAAACCCCAGCCCCACAATGTCTCGGTTTTATAACCTTGCACAAACGGTTTCACCTCCCTGGACCTCATTTTCTTTATAAAAGACCATGGAGTTGTTGGTAGAACTCATTTGCGAGGTTTGTTGTGAGGGATGGGTGGTATTTTAGCTTTGTGGGTAAGGTTCTGGAACGAGGCAGACCGGAGGTCAAGTCCAGCTCCACCACTTTTTACTGTGTGACTCGGGTCAACTAATTTCACCTCCCTGAGCTTCAAGTTTCGAACCTCTCTGTAAAATGAGGCTAGTGGAGCCTGCCTCACAGAGTTGATGGGGCAATTAGGTGGGTTAATGGTACAGTCTGCATGTGGGCAGCACTTGAGAAATCGCTACTTCTGTTCTCAGCAGACCTTTTCCCAAAACAACTACCACCATTTATGGAGTGCCCAGTGGCCTGTGCACTCAGGCTTCCTGAATACGCAAGGCAATCGGAAGGGGTAGTTCTGTTGTAATTCTCATTTACAGTGCTGGGGGGGAGCAGTGGAATTTCAAGAGATGCTGTGTGCCTTGCTCCCCCAGGATCTTGGAGCTGAGAGTAGAGTCCAGAACACAACCCTGTCTCCTTCCCTGTCCCACCATGTCACAGAGCTGACCCATTTCCTCAGCCCTCAAACAGCCTCCACCAGGGAAGTTCCTTTGTCATCCACTGCTTACAAAGACCCTTACTCTGTCCCAGCTGAGCCATTTCACAGCACCCTGGTTTTCCCCCCCCTTTACAGCCGAGTTACAGCCAGCCACCCTACAACCAGGGAGGTTACAGCCAGGGCTACACGGCCCCACCACCTCCACCTCCACCACCACCTGCCTACAACTATGGGAGCTATGGCGGCTACAACCCGGCTCCCTACACCCCACCGCCGCCCCCCACCGCACAGACCTACCCTCAGCCCAGCTATAACCAGTATCAGCAGGTAGGTGCCAGACTCGGGGTGGGGGAGCAGGGGGAGGGTGGGCATAGAGACTTCCAGGGGACCCGCATGAATGTATATTCCCAGACTTGGAGTCCCTGTTTATTCCTACAGAGATGGGCTGGCCTCAGGCTGGCATTCACCTGATGTAGCCATTCCACTTACTGAAATTTCTGCACTGGCTGCTAAATAACTGGTATCCGAACCTCTTCTCCCCGGTGAAGCCACTAAATGGCCTAGCAGGGGCCTCCGAATCCTGCTTCAGCACCATGGCCAGTGTCCATTCCCCTTGGCTGGTGCTGGGCCATCATACCTGTTAAGTGTTTTGAATGTGGTATCTACCTATACCTGAAAGGACATTAGGTTGGCAAGCCAGGAGGTCTGGGCTTCCGTCCCTGACTCCCCACCCATGGGGCATCAGGTCAGTCACTTGTCCTCCCAAGGGACCTTGATTTCTCTGTCAGGGGACCCATGTCAGTGCACTCACCTCTGACCTGCGTGAGAGTGGGGTCAAGGCAGGAGCCAAATACAGGTCTGGGTAAGGACAACGTGTGCTCTTGGTTTCTCTCTCCAGTATGCCCAGCAGTGGAACCAGTACTATCAGAACCAGGGCCAGTGGCCACCATACTACGGGAACTACGACTACGGGAGCTACTCCGGGAACACACAGGGAGGCACAAGCACACAGTAGCCAGTGTGCTCCGGAGGCCCCTGCCGGCTTCCTCCACCAGCGCCCACCCTGGCCCCCTCGTCTGCCCACACTGGGTCCTGCGGTGCTGGGGGACGGGTCATCCCAGGGCTGCCTCCTTTCAGCCCACTGCCTCCCCTCCGAGGGGCTTCTTCCCCAACACAGGGCCGGGCATTTTTCTCTGGATTCAAACAGGCAACAATGACCTTTTATTTTCTGTTTGTCCCCTCACCTTCTTCCTTCCCCTCCTCCTCTTCTTCCTCCTCCCCGCCTCCTTTTTGACTAAAGATCCCCCCCCCTTGGTCATACAGTGAGGCTACAGTGGCTGAGGGAGGGCCCCTTCTGCCCACCTCTCCCAGCCCTGCTCCAGCCCCTCAGCTTCCCAGACCCTCATGCAGTTGGTTGTACATTCTTCCAGGAGCTGTTTTACTGTCTACTTTTCAGGATTTAAAAAAAAAAAAAAAAAAAAATCAAAAACTTAGGAAAAAAAAAAAACCAACACAAAAACCCACAAGTTTAAAAAGTAAAATGCGGAGGGAGGAAGCAGTGACAGATATTTTTTGGTAATTATGCTTTTTTTTTTTTTTTTAATTTTTAGAATTTCTCTGTTTTTACTGTGGCTGTTGATATTTCATCAGGATAACCATTTCTTTGCTGAGTTCAGGTGACGGAGGAAGAGCCACACCCTCAAAACGAAACACACACAAAAACAAAACCACAGAATCATCTTTAACCTAACTTTTTATACGATGTCTCAGTTTCCCGTAACCTTGCACACAAGCTTCTGTGTTGAGTTGAATTGTAACTGCTTTTTGTATTTGGAGAGAGTGTGACTATTGAACTTGAAACCTTTTATTCCGGGCGTCTTGGTAGTTTCTGGTGGGATTAAGTGGGTGAGAGGGAAGAAGGGGAGGTTGGGGTGGGGGGGGGCTCCTTCCCTTCAGAACATGAAATTTCTCCCACCGCCTCCTCTCCAGAGGTCTTCCAGGTGCCAGACCTAAAGGTTTTTCCTACAATGATCCTTTGATTATTTTTACTCCCCCTTGACCCATATGTTTTAACAGAATTTTAACAAACTGCACTTATTAAGAAATGTGTTTGCTTTGTTTTGTTTTCTTTCAATAAATGACATGGCACCTCCTAGCAGGAATGAAGCAGGGTTGAAACCCTGAAGTATTACTGCAGTTGGCCTTTAATTGGGGTGGGACGTTTTCAAAGGGGACATTATTTACTCATCCGTTAAACACTTACTGAGGGTTTCATGTGCCTGGCCCTGTTTTTGGTGCTGGCGCTCTCAGTTTAAAATCCACTTTCATTTTAAAGTAGTTCTCTGGTCCTTCCTCTTTCTGGTCCATTCACAGCCCCAATTCTCTCCAGGAATTTGTGACTAGAAGGCATGGCAGGTCCCTAGGCAGAGGGTGAGGTAGGGCTGATGGGATGGAGACCAGGGCTGGACTGTTGGGGGTCCTCATGGGGTGTGACTGCCCACCCACCTCGGTCCTGGCTTTGGGTGCTGGACTTAGGACGTGTCCTACCTGCAGTCCTGGATCCAGGCTAGTGGGGATTCCAGGAACTTCTTTATCCAGCCACTGTGTGTTAGGTGCTTGCCTTGTGCCTCACTCTCTCTGGACAGTGCTGGGGATACAGCACGGTCAGGGCAGTCCTGAGCCCGGCTCTCACGGGTCTCCCAGTCCAAAGGTAGCACAGACTTGTCATCAGATGGTGACAGCACCAAGTGGTCAGCTGTGAAAGCCTGAGGGTTAGGAGTGTGGTAGGGGGAGGTCTTCCTGGAGAAGGGAACAATTTTTTAAGTAGCCAGGGTAGAAGACTTCATGTTTGCATCTCCATGTAGCCTAGTGTCCTCTCCTGGCAACTGGAGTCATTTCTTTATCCCCTCTGGATATGTGGTGTTCCCAGTGATATTGTGAGGGACAATGCTGGGGCACAGGAGTGCTAGTTGAGCCCCATCCCTTGCCTAACAGGAAGTACCTCAGAGCCTTATGAATGGGACATAGGCTGCAAAAGGAGGAGGAAGGCTGACTAGTTTTGAGGTCAGGGATGAGGCATCTGAATGTGAGATGGAGCCAAAATTGGTAGCTAGTTGGGCTAAAAGGGACCCTAGAGTGCCACCCTCTGCCTGCTCAGGGAGAGCAGGAGGGGAAGGGCCTCAGATCTCTCCGGAAAGTCCCCTTCCTTGCTGGTCCACGTGTTGGGCAACGGCACCCTCTGCTGGCCTCTCTGAGTAAACTCTTAAATGTAGTTCCCACCCATCGGCTGTGGCAAATGGGCCTCTAGGTCCCTTATCCTGGCAATGCAAATGGGAAGTTATTTCTCTGCTCCTGTCCACAGTGTCTGGATCATTGCACCAGCCTCCTCACAGATCTCCCTTACCTCCAGTCCCTTACCCTCATGCTTTCCCCCCTCCTGCCTGCTACCCGAAGGATAAAGGAACTCAAGCTACTTAGTATGGCTTAGAGAGGCCCTGTGTACCTGACCCCTGGTGACCTCTCTGGCTTCATATTCTGGTGCTCCCCCTCTGAACTTAAGATTGGTGGTTGGTTCTGGGGGGGTCACAAATCTCTCAATCCAAATGCCATGAACTCTGCTTTGGAAAATATACATGTACATGGAATTTTGCATAAATATTCAAGAGGTTCTCAAATCCTCTGCAGCCCAACCATGGCCTTCCAAGTTAGAACATTTTTATTCCCTGACCACACTGAAGTCCTTGGCAGTAGCCAGAAAGGTCCATGCCTGCCTTCCCCTCTGGGTCTTTGCCTCGCCCTTCCTGCTGCCTGAAACCTCCCTTTTTAATTCCTGCTCATCCTTTAGGTCTCAGCTTGGGTGTCCCCTCCTCCTAGAAGGGAACCTTCCCTGACCCTCTAGGCTGGGGTGGACAACCCCATCAGAGACCGGGCCACTCAGGGTGGTCACTTGTGATAGTCTGTTGCTTTGTTGGTAACACACCTGAATGAGTCACTACCATCACCCAGAGCAGATCAGGACCAGGGTTGTCCCCTTTGACATCTGCAAATTCTTCAGGTCCTGGAACACAGTAGGAAATTCTATCTGATCTCACCACCCATCTCATGCTAGCCAGGGACTGGCTTTGATCACAGAAGCAAGAAACAAAGCTTAGTAGATATTTTTCGAGGTGGTGACGGAAGAAAGGGATGGATTGGAGTCTAAACCAGAGCACAAACCCTCAAGAGGCTCAGCGCGGTGGCCATTCAACCATCCATCCCAGAAGTAAGCATGCCAGGCTCTGGAGTCCCAGCGGTGAACAGGTTGAACGATGGTTCAGATCCCTCCTGATACTGCAATTCAGTAGCAGGTCAGATGGGGGCGGGGGGGAGGGCGTGGTAGAGCCTCTGACTCGGGGGACCCTTACGTTCCCCGCGGCGGGGGGCGGGACTTGAGGGAGACACGCATGCGCATAGGAAGGTCCGCCTTCACCCCGGAACTGTTGTTTCGGGCTTGGCGGCGCACCGGGTCCCCCCGGAGTGTGCTCAGCCGGAAGTGGCCGCTGAGGGCCTGGGGCCGGGATCGGCGTGTAGAGCCTCCCGCGGCGGCTAACTAGTAGAGAATCAGGATGGAGGCCGTGGCCCCCGCGGCGGAGGCCAGGGAACCCGATGAAGGTGAGGTCCCGGCCGCGCGGAGGCGGCGGGAGGGTAGGGTGCGGTGTCACTGGGAAATGATTCCCCGTGGGCGCGCAGGAGGACTCTTTATAGGGGGACACCTGCCCTCGGGTCTGCCAGTCCCCTTCGCCACCTTGTCCAGGTTAATCCTTTTCTTGTTGCGAGCTGCCGTCCTTTACCCCGTCCCCTCCCCCGAGATTAACCTCCCCCAAGTTCCGGGCCAGGCTGACCCGATTCCTTACCGGGCTAACTCTCGGGTCAACATAAACTTGCCCCCTGTCCCGGCTGAGTCCCAGTGTCCCAGTCCACCCTGCCTCTCAGTTACCTCCCCTGCATCGCACTGACCCTCCCCTTGCCCCAGGCTGACCTTCCTCCTGTCCCACGCAAACTCTGCTTATTCCAGATTCACGGTTCCCCCATTTCATTCTCATTCCCCTTTCTCCGAAGTCCACAGTGCCATCTGCCTCCTCGGGTCCTTACTCCGTTTCTGTGCTCCCTCCATCACTCTCCTTTGCATTTTCAGTCTCTATTTCTCCCGATGCCTTCCCATCAGTATCTAAAACGCTTTCGTTTTGCTCATCTTAAAATTTCATCCCGCTGCTTCAGAGTCACCCCAGGTGGGTCGAGGTGTGGTTGGGAGATTGGCGGAAATGTCCCTGGCCAAGAATTGGTCACTGTTGAAGCTGGATGGTGGGGATATGGGGTGGGGGTGGGAATATGGTCGTCTTCTCGACATTTGTGCATGTTGGAAATTTTCCATTTAAAAATGTTTTAACCTGGGGCGCCTGGGTGGCTCAGTCGGTTAAGCGTCTGCCTTTGGCTCAGGTCATGATCCCAGAGGCCTGGGATCGAACACTGCATCAGGCTCCCTGCTCAGTGGGAAGCCTGCTTCTCCCTCTTGCACTCCCCTCCTTGTGTTCCCTCTCTCACTATTTCTGTCAAATAAATAAATAAAATCTTTTTTAAAAAAAAGTGTTTTAACCTAAAAAGAACGTCTATCCCTCGGTTCCATGCGCCTTCCGATACCAGGTATCTTCTCCAAAGAGTCATTCACACCTGTCTCCGTTTCTTCACCTCCCACCCACTTGCAGTCTGGCTTTTACCTCCAGAAACTGCTCTGATCAAGGTTGCCAGTGGCCTCTCTGCGCAACCCCCCACCCCCGGTGTAGTTAAACGGAGTCACTCCATTCAGGTTTTCTCTTACTAGACTTGGAGAGTTCAATGCCATTAATCTCTCCATCCTTCTTGAAAGTTGTCCCTTGCTTTCTTTTGTTTTCGTTTTAAGATTTATTTATTTTAGAAAGAAAGAAGGAGAGAGTGGGGGGAGGGGCAGAGGGAGAGAATCTTCAAGCGGACTCCCCATTGAGCAAGGAGCCCATAGCCCAACCCAGCTCCATCTCAAGACCCATGAGATCATGACCTGAGCTGAAACCAAGAGTTGGACGCTCGACCTACTGAGCCACCAGGCGCCTCCCCTTGGTTTCTGTGACACCACTCTTTCCCTTTCTCTTCCTCTCTCTCAGGCTCCTCCCACTCAGCCTCGATCAGTTTTCTATGGCTGCTGCAGCAGATGACAAGCTGGGGGGCTTAAAACAAGAGAAATGGGGCGCCTGGGTGGCTCAGTTGGTTAAGCGACTGCATTCGGCTCAGGTCATGATCCTGGAGTCCCTGGATCGAGTCCCGCATCGGGCTTCCTGCTCGGCGGGGAGTCTGCTTCGTCCTCAGACCCTATCTATCCCCTCTCAGGTGTTCTCTCTCTCTCATTCTCTCTCTCTCAAATAAATAAATAAATAAAATCTTTAATAAAAAACAAAACAAAACAAAACAAAACAAGAGAAATGTATTCTGTTTTGAGGGCCAGAGGTCTGAAATCGGTACCACAAGGCTGAAATCAAGGTGTTAGCAGGACTGAGGAGGGCCTCCCTCAGAGGCTCTTCCAGCTTCTGGTGGCTCCTGGCGTTCCTTGGCTTGTGGCCACATCACTCCGATCTCTGCTTCTGTCCGTCTTCACATGGCCTTCTCTTCTGTGTATGTCCAGTCTCCTTTGGACTCTCTCTTATGGATACTCATCATGACCCACCTGGACAATCCAAGATAATCTCCCTGTCCCAAGATCCTTAACTTGATCACATCTGCAGACACCCATTTTGGCCATCAACAGTAACACAGGCTCCAGGAATTAAAGCGTGGCTGTCTTTCAGCGGCCCATTTTGTAGCCTTGCATGGCCTCCTTCGTAGGCATGGCTTCTCCCTATCCAGTCGGGGCTCTTTCCTAGCCCACTCTTCTCTTGTCCCTCACACTCCCCTTGCCCTCCCCATGACCTCTCATTTCCTTCGGCTTTGGTTCCTGTCTTGGCTTCATAGCTCTGTCCCCAGCCCTGCACTTTTCTCCTGAGAAGTCTCTAGCCCCACAGACCAGCAGTCTCTTAGATGGTCCCCTTGGATGTCCCCTGGGCCCGTCCTACCTTCCATGTCTCAAACTGGCCTCAGCATCTCCCCCCACCCCCAAATCTGCTCCTTGTCCGTGACTGTCTCAAGGACAGTTTGATTAGTCCCCAGACCTGAACCCCGGACCTGAACTGGATGCATCCCTTGCCTCCCAGCCCTTCAGCCCCATGGCTTGTCTACTCAGCCTCCTGAGCATCTTTCTAACTACCACCCCTTCCTGTGCCCTCCCCCACACCCCTTGCCCTGGTCCAGCTCAGTCTTCTCTGGTCTCAGTGATTAAAACCCTCCCTGAAACCCACTGCACTTGTAACCCTCACCCCCTCCCTCTTCCCCGTCCCAGCCAAGCTGCCCAAAGGAGTTGCCTGTACTTTGTCTTCTCTTATTTCCTGGCCGCTCAGCCTCACTCCAGTTCCCACACCTTTTGAGAAACAGCTCTTGACAAGGTTTGCCTAGCGCCCAGCTTGCCTGTTACCAGCGCCCGTGTTGTCTTTGACCGTCCTGGCTCCCGCATCACACTGGCTGTTTCCTGAGGGCAGATGTTGGGCTGCCTCACTCCCGTGGATCCTCAGCACGGCCCAGCTCGGGACCTCACACAGATTTAGAGTTGCTGAAGAGTGGCTGGATGAATGTGTGAATGAGTAGGAGAGAGAGGGAATGAGTGAACAATTTAGTGGATGTGTTAGTGATTTTGTGTGCAAGTGAAAAGGCAAAGAATTGTGTCAGTCAGTGAATGAGGTGGTAAAGGACCAAGTAAACACACCAAGCACCCTCCTGCCTCAGGGCCTTTGCACTGGCTGTTCCCTTTCCATAGCCTCTCTTCCCCCCAAAATGTCATGGCTCAGTCCCTCACCACCTCAGGTCTCTACTGAAATGTCACTTTTTTGGCAAGGTCTTCTCTGACTGTCCCATTTAAAATTGCAGCCTGGGGCGCCTGGGTGGCTCAGTTGGTGAGCATCCGACTCTTGGTTTCGGCTCAGGTCATGATCTTGCGGTGGTGGGATCGAGCCCCGCATCAGGCTTGGGCTCAGCGCGGAGTCTGCTTCAGATTCTTTCTCCCCCTCTCCCTCCCCATCTGCCCCTCCCCTTTCTATCTCAAATAAATAAATTAAATTGCAGCCTTCCCCCACTGACCCCACTCCCCCCTCCTTCCCTCTTCATTTTTCTACATAGCTCTTTTTTTTTTTATTTGACAGAGAGAGACACAGCGAGAGAGGGAACACAAGCAGGGGGAGTGGGAGAGAGAGAAGCAGGCTTCCCGCCGAGCAGGGAGCCCGATGTGGGGCTCGATCCCAGGACCTTGGGATCATGACCTGAGCCGAAGGCAGCTGCTTAACTGACTGAGCCACCCAGGCGCCCCTCTACATAGCTCTTGGAACCACCCAACAGACTGTATGTTTGCTAACACATCATATGTTTTCAGTAATTAGGTTTTTCACGGTCCATGTCCCCTACTAAAATGTCAACTTTGTGCATCCTGTGGTATCTTTGGGACCTAGAACAGTGCCCAGGACATAGTAGGTGATCAGGAAACGTAAAATGAGTCTTTTCCACCCACCCCACCTTCCCCCGCACTCCCATCCCAGGACTAACACATCTCCCCTCCCCCCACAGGCTGCACGCAGCCCAGTACTGGACACTGGGGGGAGCTGAGCTGGACACCGGTCCCACCCAGACCCCAGGACAAGGTGGAGGCCGCGGAAGGAGCGCCAAGGGCCCCAGATGATGACGCCCTGGGGGCTGAGAACACAGCAGTGAGTGCCATGCTGCGCGCCGTGGCCGCCAGCCGCCTGCCTGTGTGCAGCCAGCAGCAGGGCGAGCCTGACCTCACCGAGCGGGAGAAGGTGGCCATCCTGGGCCAGCTGTACCATGAGAAGCCGCTGGTGTTCCTGGAGCGCTTCCGCACGGGCCTCCGCGAGGAGCACCTGGCCTGCTTTGGCCACTTGCGCGGCGACCATCGTGCAGACTTCTACTGTGCTGAGGTGGCCCGGCAGGGCAGTGCCCGACCCCGCACCCTGCGCACCCGCCTGCGTAACCGGCGCTACGCTGCCCTGCGTGAGCTCATCCAAGGTGTGAGGACAGGTGGGCTGGGCGGGCGGGGAGACTGAGGCAGAGGAAGTAAGAAACAAGGATGCAAGAGCGGAGACACGGACAGAGGTCCTGGAGATAAGTTTTGAGACAGAGACACAGGGAGGTTGAAAGAGACACGTGAAGCGATGAGGCAAGATAGGTACAGGCAGACGGGAACCCAGGGGAAGAGAATGGGACAGGCAGTGAGAAGGGTCAGAATTTAGTAGATGACACAAGTGCCATTTCACAGAACCCAGCACTGTGATAAGTGGTTATCCCTCAGGAAAACGAGACTCTCTTACACCATGCACAGAGGCGCTGAGGAAACCCAGGGGAGTCTGTCTGTGACTCTGGGGACACACAGGCCCTCTGAAACAAGGCACGCGTCTGGAGGGCACGATACCTTCTTGACCACAGCATAATTACAAGCATCTCTGTGACCAGAGACACCAGAACTAAAGTTGAAAGAGGAGAGCAGGGGCGCCTGGGTGGCTCAGTTGTTAAGCGTCTGCCTTCGGCTCAGGTCATGATCTCAGGGTCCTAGGATCAAGCCCCACATTGGGCTCTCTGCTCCACGGGAAGCCTGCTTCTCCCTCTCCCACTCCCCCTGCTTGTGATCCCTCTCTCGCTGTATCTCTGTCTGTCAAATAAATAAATAAAAGCTTAGAAAAAAAAAGAGAGGAGAGCAAACGAGGCAGAGAGCGAGTGAAGATTCTGGTTAGGGTGAAGACTCAGGCCCTAGGGCCAGGGAGATGGAGAGGGTGGGGCGCAGCGACAGGTCGGGAAGAAGGAGATGGGAGGGAGGAGGGATGAATGAATGGGGGTTGAGGTGACAGACACGGAACCCGGGAGGGACAGGTGGGTGGAGGCAGAGGGCAGAAACAGAGCCAGGGAAACGGAGGGAGGGAAACAGAATATGGTGGGTAACACCAGAGGGAGAGAGATGGGTAAGAGAGGGGGCAGGACAGGGACGGTCACAGACCCCAGTGCTGCAGAGGCCAGAATTCTGGGCAGATTCTCACCCTGGGCTCTGAAGGCGGGGCTGGGACCGGTGGGTGGGAGGAACTGGGCAGGTGTAACGGTTTTCTGAGGGACAGAGCCCCCTGCAGGAACAGGCAGCCAGGGGAGACAGGAAGGTCCCGGGTTTGGGGGTGGTGGGGAAGCCAAGCCCACCCGAGGGATGGCTGCAGAGGAGAGCACTCTGGGGAGAGGTTAGATCTGGGGTCTGGAAGAACACCAGGGGTACCCACATCTGGCACGGCCAGCTGTGTGCGCAGACAGCCACACGTGATCTGCATCCTGGCTCCTGTGTGCAGGACCCTTGCCTGTGGCCTGCTGCACGCTGCCTCGCAGACACTCGCAGACACGCACGCAGGAGGGTGTGCACAGCTGTGTGACCAGGCACAGCGACGGGCAGGGGCCCCAGACCACCAGCGCCTCGGGGCCCGGGCTGGCCAGGGCCGGGCGTGCGCACACAGGAGTACCCGTGCCGCCACGGGGCCGCTAACGCGCCCACGCTCAGACGCATGCGTCCTCGCGGCCACGGGCCCTCAGGCGGCTGCGTGCTCCCCCGCCCGTCTGAGTGCGCACGCGCGCGCTGGCCCTTGTGCGCGCTTGGCTTCCTACAAGCGCGATCGTGGGCGCGCGTGTGCTCAGACAGGGTGGCCCCGCGCCCAAGCCCCTGACCCCGGGCGCGCCGTGTCTCTGTGCAGGCGGCGAGTACTTCAGCGACGAGCAGATGCGGTTCCGGGCCCCGCTGCTGTACGAGCAGTACATCGGGCAGTACCTAACCCAGGAGGAGCTCAGTGCCCGCGCCCCGGCCCACCAGCTGCCCAAGCCCGGCGCCCTCGGCACCCCCGCCTGCCCGCTCTCTGATCTGCTGCTCCAGTCCTACCAGGAGCGGGAGCTGCAGCAGCGGCTGCTCCAGCAGCAGGAGGAGGAGGAGGCCTGCCTGGAGGAGGAGGAAGAGGAGGAGGACAGCGATGAGGAAGGTGAGGGCCAGTTCCAGGGGGCCCCAGGCTGGGCCCCCGAACTGCAAGAGCAGACCTCGCGTCCCTCCCCTGCCTGCCCTGAGTGCCCAGGCTCTTCCCAGTCCTTCCAGCATCTCTGTCCCCCACTCCTCAAAGGCACGCAGCAGTCGCTCCCCTCCAGGCCGTTGCCCACGCTGTTCCCTCTGCCAAGAATGCCTTCCCTTCACCAGCCTCCAGGTAGCAGGTCCTGATCCTGTTCTCCAGCCTCCAGAGCACTGTATTGTCATTGTGTGTTTGGCGTGTGGCCGGGGAGGGCAGGACAGGGGCTGTCTTGGTCACCACTATGTTCCCAGTGCCACCAGGACAGAGGAGGCGGCTCTCCATGGCTGTGTTTTCAGCCCTTCCCCGAGTGCGCCGCTCACATCCTCCCCGCTGTGGGTGTCTGCCCCTACAGACCAGAGCCCCAGCAAAGACTCGGAGGCCTGGGTCCCCGACTCAGAAGAGAGGCTGATCCTGCGGGAAGAGTTCACCAGTCGGATGCACCAGCGCTTCCTGGACGGCAAGGACGGGGACTTTGACTACAGGTGACTCAGGCTCCCCCCTCCCCCCCCCAGCCCGGCACCCCACGGCCCTCGGCCCGGCTCAGATGGCATAAGGGTCTCAGATGAACCAGAGATCAGTGGGCGTCCTTGGACTAGCTTTGTGCATCTCTGAGCATCAGTCCCCTCACCTGAAGAAGGGACTGAGCAGGGCTGACCGCTCAAATTTGACAAAACACTGAAATATTTGCATTCGGGTGAGTGGTGGTGGCCTGGTAGGATGCCACTGCCCCAAGCCCCCCAGGTGTCCCCCAGGCAAGCCAGCTTCTTCCTCAGGCCCCCAGACCTCCTCATGCTTCAGGAAGTAGCCACTGGCAGGGTTAATGCCTAGCACGGAGGGGCCTGTGGTGGCCGCCCTGCAGTCTGTTTGCTGTCCCCACCGTAACCCCAGGGCGAGACACACAACCACTGCTTTGGAAAGGATTTTGCCATCAGGGAAAAGGACACTGAAATATGAAGTATCGGAGTCAGAGATAAAAGGTTTTGACAACTGAGGCAGTCTTGCCTGGTGGGTGTGCTAGCCGAGGGCCCGGCTTCAAACCCAGCCCCGGCAACACACGAATAGGCCGACCCTCACCAGTTGGGTGGGGAGCGCCAATGCCACGGCCCCCAGGAGCACCGCCGGCCTGATCTAGGGCCCCCTGGCTCCAGAGGCAGGTCTGGCTGATCCACCTTCCTGCTGGGGTGGAGCCTCTCGGCCTGAGTTCCCACAAAAAGCGGGTGCAGAGCACCTGGGCCGTGGGGAGCCCCCAGAAAGCCAGGTGCCCATGAGGAAATTGGGCCTGGCGTGAGGATTAGGGATGAGGGGGAATCAAAGCCCAACCCCCCTGTAGGGCAGCTACTGGGCAGCAGGGACAGTGGATCCCTTCTCTGCATTCCGCCACCATGTGCTGAGCACCTGCTGTGTCCAGACTCTGGGGATGAAGCAGTGACCAAATCCAGTGACGAAAGGGTTCCCTGCCCTGAAGGGAGTCCTGCTCTAGTGAGGAAGCAAAAGAAGTATGGAGCATCTGGTGCTGACGGGGCCATAAAGAAAATTAAGGCAGGGTCCAGGGGCGGGGGATTGGAACGAGGTGGCCAGGGAAGGATCTCTGAGCAGGTGACGTTTCAGCAAAGACGTGCAGGATGTGAGGGGTGAGCAACATGAATGTCTGGGGTCAGAGTGTTCCTGGCGGGGGGAGCAGCAGGTGCAAGGATCCTGTTGACAATTTAGGATCACTTGACACCTTAGGGCAGACATTTCTCAGCACCGTTGATCTTTCGGGCCAGATCATTCTTCTGTGGAGCATTGGCCTGTGCACAGCAGCGGGTTGAGAGGCGTCCCTGGTGTCGAGTCATTGGGGGCCAGTAGGAGCCCCCCAGTTGTGACAACCAGAATGGCTCCAGTTATCCCCCCATGTCCCCTGAGGGGCAGAATCGTCCTGGTTCAGAACCACTCTCTGGGGAATGGGGGTCCTCCTGTCCCCACATCTTCCAGCTTTTTGAGAGAAACCAGAAGTTTTTATGTAAAATCTCTACTTTGGAAAATGTTCCTTTTGTTTGAAGCCCTGAGAGACTTCTAGCCTCACCCCCTGCAGGGGGGCAGTTTCCATTTACAGCTGCCAGCATGTGGCCTTTGACTCTGGGGGTCCCAGCTCCTCTGAAGAGTGAGAAGCAGCCGGGCCCACAGAGCCAGCCCCTGACAGCCCCCTCCCCCTGCAGCACCGTGGACGACAACCCCGACTTTGACAACCTGGACATTGTGGCGCGGGATGAGGAGGAGAGGTACTTCGACGAGGAGGAGCCCGAGGACGCGCCCAGCCCAGAGCTGGATGGGGACTGATGGCCGCAGCCGCCCGCCCCGCCCATGACTCCATCTAGGGGACAGCCTCGCTGGCTCTGGTGCCATCCCTGCCCCCTCTTTGTGCGGGGTTCCCTACCTTCCCCCCCACCCCCCCACTCCACCTCTGTCTCTCGTGGTCTCTCTGGCTCACTCGCTTTTTCTCCCTGCCTTTGTGTCTCTTGCTTTCTGCGTCCCCCTTCCTCTTGCAGCACCTCATTGTCTTTTCTCTCTGCCTTTCTCTCTGTCCCCTTCCCTGCGCCCAGGCCTCTGTCCCCACGATAGGGCCCAGGCTGAAGGTCGTCCCCTTGACCGAGGCCCTTCGTAGCCGGAGCCGGCCGGGACGATATCAGTGTCCTGTGTAGGGTCCGGGTGAACCCCGGGCTTCGCCCCCGGCCTCTGCCTGTTTCCCACCTCTGTGCCGATGCGGCTCGTGCCTCCCTGCCTCTGTTTCAGTCCCATCTCCCTCAGCCTCGCTCTGGGCCTCTGGCTCTTCCCGCTGTACGCTCCCATCTCTCGGCCCCCACGCTACCTCTGGCCCTCCGTCTGCCTCTCAGCCTCTCTCTCTCTCTCTCTGTTTCCGTGTCGTTTCCCCCCCCACCCCCTGGCCCAGCCACTGTGGGCAGCAGAGCCCTGACTGCTGAGGAAGGTGGCCTCGCTGGGCGGGCTACCAGCTGTCACTTCGCCCTCAGGACCCAGACTTGGGAGGGGGGTGCAGGGGCAGCACCGGGGCCACGGGCCTGCCAGCTTGGGTGTGGTGGGAGGGGGCACGGGGAGGGGGGCTCTCCCCTCTCAGCCCCACCGGCCCCTCTCTTTCCCCGGCCACAATGTTCCCTTCCTTCACTTCCTCCGCCTCCTTCTCCCTCCTGTTTACACTCCCCAAATACGCACAGGCTGTTATCATGGGTCCTGAGTCATCCCACACACAGCCTGCCCCAGCATCCCTGCCCCCAGCTGGCCACAGGGCCCGCCCCGCAGAGCCCCCCGCCGCCCCCGGCTAATGTGAGCCAGATGGCCTCCCGGTGACTCAGCCACTGGCCTGTGGGAACCCAGGTGTCCCGCCTTCCCATGCCCCCACACCCAGCTCCTGCTCCCCCAGTAGACATGCACATGGAGAAGGGGTCAGCTGCTTGTGGGGAGGGCCACGGGGCAAAGAGGTGGGGCCTGGGGACCCCTCGCTCCTGGGAGCCAGAATGATGGCACCCCGCCATAGCCAAGCCTGCAGGACCCTCAAAACCACCTCCTCAGGCACATGGCCCAGAGTAAGGGGGAGACCCTGAGGCCTCCCAGGGCTACAGCTCTTGACCCCTGGGCCTCAGCTCTGCCCTCTGGGTCAAGCAGGACTAGAGCCAGACACAGAAAGTGAGAGCTGGCCTAGAGGCCAAGGGACATTCACACGGAGAGACTTAAATACGGGAGCTCCCAGTTAGCAGTTCTATCCTCTGCCGGACCTGACGCCACACTGAATCCTCCTGACGACCCTGTGAACTAGGGACTCGCCTCCATTCCATAGGTGAGTCAGGGGAGGCCAGAAGGGAGGTGTTAGTTGGTCGAGGCTGCACGGCCAGTGAAGATGAAAAACCAGGTCTAGACCCTCACAGGTCCTGGGGACCATCCTCCTAGGTTGCGTCAGGTCAGGGCCACCCGGAGCGGTCGGATGCACGGATTTGCTCAAGAAGAGCAAGGAAGAGGTGGCTATGGAGGGCGATACCAGCAGCTAAGCTTGGG